AAATAATACAAAATATAAGGTTTTGCATTCTACATATTTGCATTTGTACTCCTTCCAAACTCAGCCAAAAGGTAGGGTTGTCTAGGTCGAGTCCAGGTGGAACCAGAAACAAATACTAAGGATCCAGAACTGAATTGGATCCAATAGGGTCTATAATATTAGACTCATATTAGTCGGGGCTTATGCAATGAGCTTGATTATAATAAATCTATTGAAAATATTGTAAAAATAATATTAATTTATTTAATATATAGAGATACACATTATATACACACATACATACATATATATATATATATATATATATATATATAGTTTGGGTCAGGTCCACCTAGTCCCAAACCAATAAGATTTGGGGCAATATTGATAAGAATAAAAATTATCATATTTTTATCCCTAAATATTCAGTCTTTTATACTTAATTAGTACTTAATTGGACTCATTATGCTTATATTTCGATTTAGGGCATGAAAGAAGGCGTCAGGAGAAAAACAAGGCTAATTGGGTAATTTTGCACAGTTTCGGTGCCGTGTAGTAATCTGGGTATAACTCTCCCATCCGGACTTCGATTGAGATGATTCAAGATGAATTGGAAAGATAAGGAAAAACTCTACAACTTTTAGGTTTTGAGTTTTGATAGATTCAGACTGCATTAAAGTCAAAATCGGGCCCGAAGTCTTAGCAAATTCGTAGAGAAGCCCAATTCGCAATAGAGTTCACAGAAAAGCCTTACAGCGGCCCAATTCGTTAAGGAAGCCCAATACAAATACAAGAATAAGAAACTGCAAAGAGTCCTATCATATTCAATTTTCTAATGTAATTCTAGAAAGTTGAGATTACCAGATAAGAGATAGGATATGATTAGATCTAAACTAATCATTAGGAATTAGGACATTNTTAGATCTAAACTAATCATTAGGAATTAGGACATTCAATTTTCTAATGTAATTCTAGAAAGTTGAGATTACCAGATAAGAGATAGGATATGATTATATCTAAACTAATCATTAGGAATTAGGACTTTCTATTTTTGGGAAAGAACTCCAAAAAGGAGTTGGAAACAACCCCTCCTCCTAAAGCTATATAAAGGGGGGCGGGGCGGACTAGCACCAGACATCAACCAATCAATCAATCAAGGGAGCAAGGAGAAGTCCTCCAAGAGAGCTTCAGCCTCCAAGGAAGCAGTCAGCAACCCAAGTGGAGAAGAAAGGCAGCGAAGAGGAGAATTGGAGATTCAAGGGCGAAGAGTTCCCCTCAATCAACTTTTATTCAAGTGTTTTTTTTCTTCAAACTTTACTCTCTGTTATTATTCAATTTCACTTATGTTTAATCTAAATTTCATCGTTGGGATGATTCTTTTCATTAATAATATGAGTAGCTAAATTTCTTGATCTAGGATTTGGATGTAGTCTTTTCATTTGCCTATGATAGATTTTGTTTAATTGATTGGGTCGTTGATTGTTGGGATTTATCTTTTATCTTAGGGCTTAATGCTAGTAATTAATTGACCATTAATTACTTGATTAAGGTATTGTGTGAAGTAGCGAGAGTGGAAGCATAATACTAGTTCATTGAGATAATTGACCTAGGGTATGTGTTGCTTAGAGATAAGAACACTCCTTTGTGATTATTAAACTGATTTCCATTGATCTTAATGGGTTTGTGTTCATTGCCCGTGATCACGAGAGTAGACACGCGGTTAGCATAAATACATGTGTTGTATCTTGAGAGAGAACTTCATATAATTTGGGGAAATTTGATCATAAATTCCTACAACAATAAACCAATCTAAGAAAACATAAGTATGTCATAGGCAATCATTTGATGAAACCCGAATCCTAGGCTTTTTATAATATTCTGAATTAAACCTATTTACTTGCATTATCATTTCTTTAATTTGGCTTGAGAATTGAATTTATAATTTCTAAATAATAGAGAAATCTTAAAATTTGGTACTTGACAACACCTTCCCTGTGGGATCGACACTCTATTCACACACTATTACTTGCCCACGATCTGTATACTTGCAGAAATCGTACAACAAATATATTAAGAATCGGAACCAATCCAATTAGTTTGGGTCTATTGGGTCCAACCCAACGCATTGACAACCCTATTAAAAGTATTGGCTTTTAAGAGATAAGCTTTATTGCTCATAAGATCATGCTCACACCGTTCACACAACCTTTTTACAGTCATGCACTCAGAATATCTTTGTACTTGTATGCTTTTTTTCATGGAGAGATATTTCCAATGCACAACTGCAAGGGATTGTGCGAACGGTGTGAGCACAGTCTGCAAATGGTGTGAGCACAGTCTTGTGAGAACTGAAATCGATTTCGGCTTTTAAGGGAATGGGGTCGTCTGTCCTCTCAACCCAACAGGCCAACACTCTTCATTGTCCATCCATTTAAGGAGCGATACTGTGATACATGTCCCTTACACGATTTCATGTTGTCTAGCATGCGAAATGTAAATAAAAGGTATTTTTAAATAAAAGTTAATTCTTAATTTTTTTTCATTCTCTCTCCTATTTATCTCCCAAAACTAATTCTTTTTTTTTTTTAAATTTTTACTAGCGGTAGGGACCCATGCGATGCACGGGCTTGGTTAAACAGAAGTGAAACAATAGAAATATATAATAGTAAACATATTTTTTATGTTTTCCATCCTAACACTATAGACTAATACCATCATAGGTAAGGATTGTAATGTTTCAATTATATGAATTATAATCTATACGAAAAAAACCAATGTAACTAATGTAAGATTGGTTATATTTTTTTGTTAATTACTATTATTTTTGAAGATTAGTGATAATTATTTATGTTGATTTTTGGTAATTTATCATATTTACCAGAAAATAATGCTAATTAATTTTTGTATATTTTTTGACAAGTTTTGGTAATTATGACAGATTTTCTTAAACATTGGTAATTTATGGTAATTTTTGATAAGTTTTTTGCTATGTATATTAATTTTTGCTAATTACTATAATTTATGTTGGAAATATTGGTAATTTATTTCAGGTCATATTCTTGGTTAATTTTTGTTCATCTTTACTAAGATATGACAATTAATGGTAATTTTGATAAGTTTTTGCTATGTATATTGGTTTCTGCTATTTACTATAATTTTTGTTGTAAATATTAGTAATGTATTGGATCATTGTTAATTTTTTGGATAATTCTTGGTAATTGTAACCATTTTTCTTAGGTATTCGTAATTTTGTATTGTTTCTATTAGTTTCTTTTAAATATTGGTAATTTTCCATGGTAGTTTTTGATAAAATTTTGCTATGTATATTAATTTATGCTAATTACTATAATTTTAGTTGGAAATATTGGTAATTTATTTCAGGATATATTTTAGGTTAATTTCTGTTCATATCCACTAAGTTATATAATTTTTTGCCATATATATTAATTTCTTCTAATTACTATAATTTTTATTGGAAATATTGGTAATTGTAACAAATTTTCTTAAACATTGGTAATTTTAAATATAATTTAAATGTAATTACAGTTTGAGAGGGAATCTATTTTAAATAATATAATATTAAATAATAAAACTATATTGTTTTGTCATTTATAATTTATTTTGAGAATTAGGATTTTTTTCCCCAATAATAAAACCAACGGGCCTAGAACTTGGGCCCGAGCCCGGCCCTGATAAAAAGCCCGAAGCCCGAGCCCGAGCCCAAGCCCGAAGCCCGACTTAATAAAAGAAAATCAAAATTTTCCCTATTCAAATAGACATTATCTATTTTAATTCATATGTTTTTTCCCTTATTTAAATGAACAATGGGCCTACAAGTGAATCAACAACCTTCTTAAATAAAAAATTTATTCAAATGGACATCACATAGGGTTTTTACTTAGGTTTAACTATAGGTCGGGCTGGGCCGGGCTATTTTGGCAAAGCCCGAGCCCGGCTCGAATTTTATGCGGGTCGGGCTTTTTGGCCCGAAGTTAAGCCCGCGGGCCAAAAAGCCTGTTCAAGCCCGTCCGGGGGTCGGGTCGGGCCAGCCTGTCGGGCCACCCATCCCATGAACAAGTCTAGGGGTGGGGTATTTTTGACCATTGATCGAGGTTGGGGTGGGTTTAGGGGAATCATGAAACTATTCTAACCAAGGATAGGGCATGGTTGTAAATTCTTGTGAAATGTGAATGATGCTACGCTAACATTAAAATGGGGCATGGAAAATTCGAGGATTACTGTTCCCTTGAGGGATGGGGATAGCCAACAAAGTACACAGGAGAGTATATGTGTTACTTATACCAAACCTAACCCATGGCCAAGGGGATTTGCTCCTCAGAAAACACTCTTTACATGAATTGGGATCTATTCCTCATAGAGCTCGTCTCACATTGACTTTACAGCCATGCCATATTCCACTTTGTATTGAGAATGTTTTATCATGAATAATAAATATAAGTATGGGAGATGTTTACAATGTGACCAAGACATGCTGAAGTCTCCTTACATGAACCGTATATCTACGTCCCATTGTATATTGGTAACATCTCCCTGAATAATAACTTCCCCTTTCTTCCTCTAAATAATAATATACAAACCTTTTCCCCTACATTACTGCCATTATTGAGAACATCAACGTGAGGAGCAGGTATAGACTTTCTTTTACTCCAAACCTTTTTCCCCACATTACTGCCACTATTGAGAACATCTCAGCATGAATGATAGGATAAGGGAGATATTCCCATTTCCCAATGCGCGTATTGTTTTGTGGGGTAGGAATGTGGGAAGAATTTATGGTTTTGGGTAATCCGAAGTAGGCCAAGACCAATAGATACAAGCGATGAATGAAACAAGAGATCTGAACCGTCTGGTTGTCTCGTGTAAAGAATTTTTTGTTTCATCACTTTTCTCAAATCTCAAGCTGGGAACTCCTCTGACTGGCTTAAGAATTACTTTGTTGGTCCAGAATCAGAAACATCGTGGAGATGTAAAATTTCTCTCAGTTCATAATATAAGTACTTTTTTCTGTGTAGAAAAAATGGACCAGAAAAAATAGAGAGCCTGTAAATGGAATCCGTTAACTCAAAAGTTATCCTTTTTGTTTATTCTCGCCTGCTGATTCTATTAAAATACATTTCTTTTCGTAAAATGGGTAAGAAAGAATGTGTAAAATTGAAAAGTAGCAAAACTACAAAAGTAATCCAGCTACTCTTCACTCACTACTGCTCTTCACTTCAACAGAAACCACCAAACTGTCTTTCTCTTCTCTTCTCTCATGATTTGACAGACAAGGTTTCTTTTGAAATCTACCCTCGACAATTCTGAATACTTCTGCTGCGCCGAGTAGATTGGAGAGTGTCATGAGAAGATCTGGGTTTTCCCTCTTTTGCTTCGCTCTCTTTGTCTCTAATCTGCTTCACTTTCAAGTTGGAGCTGCTCCTACAGGTTGTATCTAAGAACCCAACTCTATTTTTTTTTTCGTTAAGTACTTGCTCTTAGATTGGTTTCATCTGACGAATGGGTATATTCTTTTGTGCTCTTTCGATCGTCTCTTATTTTGGATTCTTCTGTTAAGTCAGGGCCGTTAATAAGGCATTTGTCATCATTTCTCAGATGGACGAGGTCTTCTCAGAAAACACCCCAGACAGGTTTATTGAAAGAAGAATTTCTGATTTCTGTCATATCCACACGATCGTTTTGTGATTATAGGAAGGTTTCCTTTTTATGGGTAGTTATGCGAACTGAAAGTGTTCCTTGTTGCTGTTTAACAGATGGGAACGTTGTTCAGTTTGAGAATGGATACTTGGTTGAGACTGTTGTAGAAGGGAACGAGCTCGGGGTATCCCCATATTCTATCCGTGTTTCCCAGGATGGCGAACTCTTTGCTGTTGATGCTGTCAATAGCAACATTGTTCGGATAACTCCGCCATTATCCCAGTGTAGGCTTTCTGCTTTATCCTCCTTAACTGAAATTTCTTAATTTATTTTTTAATTGCAAATCCTCTGTCATCCGGGAAATTTCTTGTAATTTTAGTAATTAGGCCTCAATTCTGTACTCTCAGGCGTGTCTACCATATGGGTCAGTTAACAATTCTTTGTCTTGTTGAGTGATAGAAGTGCATTTGTTTCATCACATACTAAATATGGTGGTTGGTTGTGCAGATAGCAGGGCTAGGTTGGTTGCTGGGTCATTTGAGGGCTATTCGGGGCACGTAGATGGGAAACCAAGCGATGCTCGCTTTAATCATCCAAAAGGCGTTACCATGGATGATAAAGGGAATGTATATGTTGCAGATACTTCTAACCTTGCTATCAGGAAGATTGGAGAAGCAGGTCTGTGTAGCAACTGAACAAGTCGGTGGATTACTGTGAAAGGACAATCAATTAGTACTTTATTTCTGATTCTTATTCTCTAGGAAAAAAGCTAATTGATTTTAGGGATGCTTGCAGGTGTTACAACTATTGCAGGAGGCAAATCAAATATTGCAGGGTACAGAGATGGGCCCAGTGAGGATGCAAAATTCTCTAATGATTTTGATGTGGTGTATATTCGGCCTACTTGTTCCTTGTTAGTTGTTGATAGAGGAAATGCTGCTCTTCGGCAAATTTCTCTTAATCAAGAGGACTGTGATTATCAGTATCACTCAATTTCTGCCTCAGGTTTGGAACCCTAACTGTTGGTTTTTATTTGTTTACTAACTGTTATCTTGGTTCATAAAGAGAAGTAGAAGTTAATTGAATAATGAAAATGGATTGTTGTAGCCTATTCCAAATAATTGAAATTTGAAACAAAGCTTAGATGTGGTGTGGTAGTGTAATCACTGGTGGTGGTTAGTCACATCCAGTTCATAAACATTGGATTCACACCAGAGTTGGCAAATCCAACACTACCTATTTATTGGATGGTATTGGAATTGTGAAGAAAAACTTCTTGCATTGGGTACTAGTAACCTGGTTTTTATTCTGAAAATGATTCTATCTTTTTTATTTATTTATTTTTTTTGAGAAAAGGTGAGATTTCTATTAAAAGAAACAAAGATAAAGGCTGCTGAAGGAGAGGTTTCCTCAACAGCTGAGTACAACAGAACATAAGTAAGACGAGGGCAGTAAAGTCTTACAGCACAAAACCAGCATCCCTGAAAATACTATTCCAGTGACTAGAAAACAAACTAAAGTTGAAGCCCTTAAATAAATTGTTGACTGACGCCACTTGACTAACATCGGGCCCGTTTGGTTTGTCATTTTGGGAAGATTTTCTGGTAACTCTGATAGTCAAAAGACGCATTGAGCTTTTGCATGAAGATCTGAGCAGCCCAAAGTTAGTTTGGAAGATACACGTCTTTCTGTGCGTCTTTCCGTGCGAGAATAAAACGCGAAAGATGTGAAAAGCTTCATTTGGAGCTTCCCGAAATCAGCCCAAAATGGGCTTCTCGCGTCTTTATGGCGCTCTGACTTTTGGCAGCTAGATCTTCTGCAAACCAAACGGGAATAGACCGAAAATCGGTCTGCACGGAAAGACATGCCAGATGGGCTCCTTTCCACCTTGACTAACATTCTATCTTCCTTTAAGCTATTTTTAACTCCCTCTAGTAGTAGTGGCTGCATGTTAGTTACACTGATGAACCAAAATCCCCAAATTAACATTTGGAGGTACATGTGGCCCTACTATTTGTGGACCATTATTGGACCAGTGGAACTTTCTCTTGTTTGCATTTTAATATATCTGTGAACTCTGATATTAATATTCAGATTATAGGCCAAACCCTGGTTCTATCAATTTCTCCCTCAAAGTTCATGGTTTCCCAACAGCATGACAACTATGAAATTTGGGGATATATTTGTCCAGAAACTAGTCATTGGAGATTGCCTTTGAGTTAAAAGTTGACAGGCATGATAATTTTTTAAAACAACTAGTCCTAACTTTCAACTGCAGGATGTGTTAGGAACTGGATCAGCATTAACAGTCTTCAAATTATTTGACAGGCATGATAATTTTTTAAAACGATTAGCCATTGGAGATTGCCTTTGAGTTAAAAGTTGACAGGCATGATAATTTTTTAAAACGACTAGTCCTAACTTTCAACTGCAGGATGCGTTAGGAACTGGATCAACATTAACAGTCTTCAAATTATTTGACATTTGCATTCGCTGACCTATACAACATGCAGGGAGATATGTTATTAGTAGAGATCAAAGTTGCAAGGTTCAATTTCAGTGTCATGGATATTCAAGTTGATTTGATCACACAAATTTGTGCTGTTTAAGTGTTCATTAAGCCTCTTTCTTGGTAATGTTCTACGAGTGTGTATTGGTGGCAACAGATGCTAATTTGTTTTATAGATTGGTGAAACCAGAATGAGAATACAATTAATTTAAGTGTTACGGCATTGCCTGGACATTTGCCCAGGTGTTTTGGAGGCCCACCACCTAGGTGATCAACTAGGTAAGTGGTATAGAATATAGACAAAAAATTTAATGGGGGAATATTTTTTTTTAAAGGTGAGGTATTGTGTTAAACCGCAAAAAGAAAGAAGATATACAATCTGCCCCAATTCCCTGTACAATGAGAAACTGTACTGAAGGAAACCCTAAAAACTCAAAACACAACTACTAAGCCTTTAGGCATTTACAGATAAAACTATCCAAACATAATCTCTTTGTCAAAAAAAGAAACTGTATGTCTAGATTTAAAAAGTAATTGACTAGCCAACCACGAATACAGCATGCCCATTATGGGGGAAGATATATTCCCCCTTGGTATACTGATACAAGTTTGTTTAACCCATTTTGGTCTATAGGATTGTATATGGAGCTAAAATTAGGGTCTTAATCTTTATAAAAATCAAGTGTAAATTGTTATTTCATCATTTGATGATTTAATTTGTGCTTTACTGATTTCTAATTTGCATGAAATTGCATAATATTTATATATGGTTATAAACGAAGTGCGAATTCCTTCGCTGATGGATTAGCTAAACAAGGGGTTAATAGGGATTATTTTGGGCTCATTTGCAATTGTAATATGTTTGTTTGATAGTTTTCTCATTGGGAAAGTTAAAAGAGATTATCTCCCCTTTTATGTACTCTCATTTTAATCTATTTTAATGAAAAGGTTTTTTGTTATTGATCAAAAAAATATATATATCAACTTGATTTTCTGTTGTCTCTTGAGATGCTTCAAGAATCTCAGATAGAAACCATTTCAGAGGTTTTTAATTCCAACTCAAAACTGTTCCTTTTCTTACCTTTTCTTCTTTTAAATATAGGTGAATGTAGGGCAAACCATTGAGTGTAGAGTTCCAAGTGAAATTAAAATTATCAGTGGTTCAATATGTAAGAGTTAAAAAGGAAAGAGTTTGGGAAATGTAATCAATTAATGCTTATGGAAACTCAAAAACTATAATCAAGAAACGAAGCTAAGAAACTAGAACTATAATAAGATTGGTTAATAAAAAATTAAAAATCACAAGAAGGATAACTAGAAGGATAAAAGTTAGAAGAGTAATTACCTGTCTTGAGCAATAGTTGCACCTTATTCTTGAATCAAAGCCTTGTCGATATCACACCTTGAATAACTCAAGATTCTCTTCAAAGTTTAGGTTGACAGACAGTTGGGTTGATCCACAGATTTGTGTGATCTGTTCCATGTTCCACAAGTTCCATGTTGAACATTTTGGGCCTTATAGCGAAGATTTCTTATGGAGTGACATGTATCATGCTATCATTTTGCAATTTCTGTACTATAGAGAGTCCAGATTTGCCAAAACTTTCAAGAAAGGGAGGGAAAAAGGGAATAATATGGAAACGATAGTGATGTATTGAAGATGAATTTGTATTTAACTATGTCTTTTGTTCTCCCATGACTATCTTTCATGATGGTTACCACTCCTTAACATAATTGTGTTGTATTTGATGAAGTAAAACAGTTAGCTTTTTTCTCTATTTCCAACTGTTAAGGAATCTGGCAGGGGAAATTTCATGAGAATTGGGTAGATGAGGAGTAAGGGAATCAGATTACCTAAAGCGAGGAAAAATGGTTTCAGGGCTTTGACAGTTGACAAATGAAGACTTGATATAAGAATGATAAATGAGTAGCGACTGTTCTAGCTTTCCATGTCCTTCCTGATCTTGAGGTTAGACGTTCAATAATGGAAGTCCAATTCTCCATTTCATATGTTGGTTCAAAATTGAAGATCAAAGAGTTGAACTGGATGTGGACCTAACCTTTGGCATTTTTCACAAAGTGGCTTCTCTTAGACTCAAACTGTTTTCTCATGCTTGTTAGCCAGAGATTTTACCATTACATCAAAGAAGTCTGGCCAGAGATTTTACCATTACATCAAAGAAGTCTAGCTAAGAATGAGGAGATTAAAGAGAGATGGAAAAGCTTTTTCCAGGGATTGCTAAATGAAGGAACATGTTGTAATACAATCTTTATCAAGTTTGCTGAACTTGAATCAGATGACAAAGTTGGTTTATGTATGTGTTCTTCTGTGAAGAACATGAAAAGCAACTTTAACACCCAACTGACACAGTGTTGGCAAAGGTCCTTGATTAAAATCAGTAGCTTATGAAGCATGTACATATATTGGAGTCTGTGAAGTCTTTTGAAATTTGCCATAATCTTGTTTTCTTCTTGCAAATAGAAATCTTGGGCTTGAGCATGTTGTAAGATCCAGTTTCCAAATGTTATTTCTTTCCAGACACTTTCATCTTTTCTACCATGACCTTGTTCCCACCTTTGATTGTACAGTGAATTGAGACTAGATGAAGCTTTGTTTGCCATAAATGAAATGCCTCTTTGCATTGAATTTGAAGCATGTTATGAATATATGATGCAAAATGATTTGTTTGGAGACAGTGCAGCTCTTCATAGACTTGTGTAAGGGAATCAAGAAGTCTGGGATCAGAGATTGTAATTGGTGAAATCTAAAAAGGTTTCTTATATCTAGAGTACACAGTTTTCTTCCAGCTGTATATCTAATGCCAGAGGTGTAATTTGCCCACTTTACTACTGTAACTGTGAGGATTAATATAAGAATGGATAGAATATTTTTCTCTTTTATGGAGTTAAATAACCAAGTTAGGTTTTGCAATGACAGTATTCTCAATTGGTTCCATCTTCTAGTTGAGGCTGGTGTGTGAATAAAATTTTTCCATGCAGAACTGGACATGTTATTATTGACATTAGTCCTACTCCTATCTACAATGTACATAATGACAGTGACCCTGATGTAAGAACCATTGAGAGAGGTTGCACACATCAAATAAAGGTCAAAGGGGATTGTAGGCTGGTCTAATTATGGAAAAGAAGACAAAAGTGTTATAGAGGTAGAAATAAGGTTGAAGTTGAGAGAACTATAGTTAAGGGAATTAAGGGAAACACAAGATAAATATAAATCGCCTCTAATCTTGGCCAGTGGCTCAAATATCACCATTGATGTAGGGAATCAATTCAGATGGCACATGGAAGCAACTTTGCAGAATAGCTAAAATTATTCCTTCATTGTCCAAAAGTATTGTTACAGCAGCATGGTCAGAGCTTATAAAAAAGCCCCTAGATATCACCCCAAATTATAGTCGCAAAGTAATACAAATCACAATAAAAGTCCCTTTAACAAGGCCAACAAAGATGTACTTAGATATCCTGAAGATCCTCTGACAAATTCATGCAAGTCTAACATACATTTCCATAGATGTTATAATCATGTAAAGATCTTAGTGGGGCCTATGGCAGCACTTACTAATTTTGTCCCTGTTAACTGGTTGGATGTTGGCCTACTGTTGCCTAGACATTGGTCATTAAGAACCCTAGCTTCATATAGGTCCAACTATAGTAAATAATTCAACATATTTTGCTATATTTCCTTTTGCATATATAAGTCTTAAGGGGCTAATTCTTACCTGTAAGGACCTGATATCAAGATTTTATTCATAGGATATCTGTAATTGGTCACATGGGAGAGATTAACTTACTGAAATTGTAGTCTAGAAATTGTAAACTTTTTGAGTGTGCATCCCTGGGCTATTGTTTCAACCATTGGCTTTTCTTGAATTTCTTTGATCATTGGGAAAATTATTGCCACTGGTAAACAACCACAAAAAGGAAGGGCAAAATCTGGTCCAACATCATCAGGATATCTGTTTGAGTTGCAAATGTAAATTGACTTCTTACTCGGATGGTTGGATTACTTGTGCAGATATTGTCATGGTTATTGGTGCTGTATTGGTTGGATATCTATCATACATGAATCAGCAGATATTAACATGTTACTTGGATTGCCTGTAGCAGATATTGTCATGGTCATTGGTGCTGTGTTGGTTGGATACCTATCGTGCATGATTCAGCAGGGATATGGACCATCTATTTTCTCAAAGACGGTAAATTTCATACTTTGGAGTTTTTATGCACCATGTAACAAGTTTTTGTAACTATATGATGACCCCTCTAAACATTTGGAAAGCACCCATTTATTTAAAGCAGCCAGAGTTTTGTCAAGGTCTTGGCTAGCATGACAGTCACTGTAATATTTACATATTATGATCCAAGAGTATTTTCAGTCTTAGCACCGAGAATAGAGGCTCTTAGAAAAAATGTTAATTTTAAACACCCTGCTGTTCGATGTGTTTCAATTAACCTTCTCATAATAGTTGCCTCTAAGTTAAATTTTGCATTTTGTCAATTACTACATGTATATGGTGGGGCTGTTGGGACACTATGTACTCTTCCTTTTAATTTTCTAAGGTGTATGTTTCAAGGAGATTTATTTTTGTTTCTCTAATACCCTTTTGGGTTATTGTTCAATGAAAAATACAGTTTATTGAAACATGGATTGAAGTTCCATATAGTGAAATGAAAATTGTCTTGAATGGTAAGGGTGGTCAAGGAATTGCAACGGGGCAGGGGTCATATTCCCTGTCCCCAACCCCGATATTTAAATAAATCCCCATCTCTGACCCTGTCCCTGCTGGGATAAAAGTTATCCTCCACCCCTGGTCCCCGACAGAGACAGGTTCCCCGCGGGGACCCGAATCCCCGGAATTTGCTAATTAATAATATTCAAAAAAAAAAATTCACTTAAAATAAAGGGAAATTTTAAAATATAAACAATATTTTAAATATATTTTGAGTTATATATATAATATTTAATATATATAATTGGGATTGGGGTGGGGTGGGGACTTCATTCCCCATCCCCGACCCCTGACCCCAATCGGGGATCCCTATTAACCCCCATCCCTGTCCACAAAGCAACCCCCACCCGCGGCCCCACCGGGTTGGGTTCCTGGTGGGGATGGGAAAATTGCCATCATGGTCCTTACCTGGTTACGGAAAGCTGGTAAAAGACTCATTTCATTGAAACTTGTTGGGAACTATATCTTTATAACTGGCATCAAGTAGGAACTACAGGTAGATCATTACAGTTCAAGTAGCCTTGCATGTTTTTGGAACTTGAGAAATATGCAGGATTTGTTCTAGTAACATGTTGTGTTTAAGATACTCCAACTATCTGTTTTGTCTTCTTAACACATGGTTGTGAAATGCTCTGCCTTTACTGCTATAGCAGCAAACTTTAGACAGTAAGATTCAAGACCAACCCAACATGGAGAAGCCTACTCTGGTTGTGGAGAACCTAAAAGAGGAACCTGATGCTGGATGGCTGTCTTTTGGGAGACTTCTCCTTGATTTATCTAAACTTATAGTTGAAGCCCTGGCTAGCATATTTCTTTACTTCATCCCTGCTAGTCTCTGGCCAGGGAGGTCAAAGAAAGGTCTTACTCCAATTCAAGACTCTCTGGTGATGCCTGAAGATAAACCTGACCCCCCACTGGTGCAGAAGCAGAGAAGTGCTGCTCCAATCTCTGAAACTCGGCAGATCCCCACTCCCAGTGCAACTGATAATTATATGGAGCAGAAGCTCCAAAAGAGTAGATCAGCCAATCTGAGGGATCCTTCACTGAGCAAGCATCGGTCTTCAAAGCGACAAGAATATGCACAGTTCTATGGATCAACAGAACTAACTCCTCCATATGGCCAATTGAGTTCTAAGAGCCAGAGAGAGCGAACAAGGCACCGCTACCGTGACAGAAGTGGTGAGGTAGCTTTTGGAGTCATGGGGCAAGATCCAAAACCTGCTGAGGTCAAGTCAGTAGACTATGACGATCCAAAATTTGACCATTTCAACATCAGGAGTAAGTATGGATCTGATGATTCCTTCCATTTCTAGATATGCTGCATTTCCTAATGGCATCCCTTATCTTTTACCTGGGTGCCCAGATTGTTCTTTTGGGTTTTCATAGGTGAATAAATCTGGATAATTTCGATAGGTGTTTTATAAATATCCTTTTGTCCTATATCTGGTAAATCTATATTTTTGCAGTTGCATTTTTTATTCTGAGGTTGGATGTAGTTTGAGTAACTGTTAAATACAAGAATTGGTTACAAGCTTTTCCCCAACTATCCCCCTTCTTTCTCTCTAGCCATGCTTGTATATATTTATTTAGTAAAATTGAGAAAAATAGTCTTCTTGGCAAACTTCCTAATGCTTGGGAATTTATAATCTTGCATCCTTTTGGAACAGAGATGACATTTTCCAACAGTTCGCAGATGTACTGTCATTGCATAATTCACATATCCACTAATCCAATGGTTCATCTCCCACTTGTGGATTCAACAAAGGATTATCAGTTGTACCAACTACCAAGAGTTATTATTGAATATCAAATGGTTGATTATTGGGTACTTTTTCCCCTAAAGATATATTATTTTGGCATTTAAAATCATAACTTATGCTTGATTTTTTTTACAAGGAAAAAAGGTTGTGCATGTCTGACTTGATTATTCTCAAGGTTTTCATCCTGGAAAATTCTGATATAGTAACTGTTGTCCAAATAAGAGAAAAATCTCTCTGCAACATGATATTCAGCAAAAATTGAAATTTTCCATACGAAGGAAGTATTGAAAAACATATACAACAATACTGGAAAGAAGAGCATAAAGTTCTTAAATATGCAACTTTATCAAACAATACATTACCATTAAAACCAACCAAAATGCATGTAAATCTTAAACCACAAACTGGCCTCACTGAAAACAGAGAAAAAGCAGGCAAGAGAGTCAAGGAGACAAAAAAGGCAGCCATTGAAGAGGAGCCACCATCATATTCATATTCACTGGATGAGAAAATATAAATACAAAAGCTTTCCCCCCTCTCAGTTCATCTCTTTCCATATTCCACCATTAGGAATAACCGAAAAATTCAGAGAGAAGCAGCTTAAAGAACCCCGAAAGAAGAGAAACAGAGGCATTTTTATCCATTACACCTTTCCGCTCCGTCTCCACGCCGTTTGAAACCCATTTTGTTTTCCCTCCGTTCTCTATTTGGCGGAGAAAACAGACTCAACTTTCTGCCTAGCACCCTTTTTTTTGAATCTAGCCAGCGTCTAGTTGGCGACGTCCACATGCTAACTAATTCCCAGCCTCCCAGGTCGTAGCTACCTTGTTAAGAGTAGACAATCAATGAGTTCAACGACAATGAATGAAAGCCAGAAGTCATCTACCACTCCAGTTTTAGTTTCTTATGAGTAGGAAAAGATCCTTCTGAAACAAAAAGTCTCTTCTTATTCCAATGAATTTTCTTTCCCTTTGTTGTACGATATCAAATGTTTCTGCATATAGAACTCCCCCACTACTGTCTAGGATGAAGATGAAAAACTTGAAAGTGAGACATGTTAAAAAAGTGAAACCAGCAAATATGAATCATCCCATACTAAAATATCGATAAGTCAGAATCTGACTGTCAGATACCTAAAGTTGCATATCAGTACGTACTTTCAATGATTAAAACATTGATAAATCAGATACCCAGGATTGCATATCAATATGGTCGACACTCTACTTTTCACTTTTTAATTGTATTAACATCATACCTGTGTATGGATATTAGATACCATACCCAGAACATCCAATATATCATATTCATATCGACATTTTAATCCTTACATAGATCATAATTTCATTATTAATCCCTATTGGTCCATGTTGATCCAATATTAACTGATGACCACCAACCCCATCCACCCATGCCACATGCCGGCCTCTATGACCTGTATCGATGCTTAAAACGTTGCCAGGCCAAGCCAGAAATTCCATAGGGTTTCCCATTGCATGTACGTGGTGCAGACTCAGGTACAAGCATATTGTTGGCATTGTGGAGCTGCATTGGTTTGGTTCCATCCATCCCTAGTCCTCAGTATGAGATGATGAGGGTTTCTATTTGTCAGGCAAAATTTTATATTTATATTTGAAAGGGAAATATTATGTTCCTCAAGTTTTTCGAGGAAACAGAACTCTCATCAAGTTAACTTTCAAAAAGAAGGCAGAAAGAACACTTTTTTTTTTTTTAACATTTCATGAATTATCTGCAGATATCCATAATTCAATTTGCCATATGTGAACCAAATCCAAATGGCTGGTTGTATAAGGTTAAATCTGTACTAAAGACTAATCAACACATCAACTCTATCACCCCCACGAGCAGGGGTGTGGTCTTATCTACAGGTTGGTGCCAGGTGGAAATCTTCAGTTGGCCCACAAGTACTCCTTCGATATTGATAGTTACCCGCATTCAAAATTATGGGACCTGTGTCCTTTAACATAATAGTCTTCTCCTGAAAAGAGCATCAGCAACTGTAGAAAACCATGGAGTAAACAGCTTCCAAATTATTACAATACCCATTCTCAGCTGTTTCAGAACTTTTATCTCCCTAGTTGGGTCAAGCAGGCAACTGAAGCTTCGCATTATTTTTCCAGCTGCAATACAATCGGACGGGAATTAATTTTAACTTGAGCTCATTATAGGATGATGAAGAAGTTCAGAGGGTTCCAACTTAGGTACCTTATGAAGTAATAATAGAAGAAATCGGCATAAAGAGCTGTCTGGACAAGACCTGAGATGGCAGCTGAAATAAGACAGAAATAGAAGGGGTCACAACATAGCATGCATCAACAGTCCCATCAAGTGGAGAGTCTCTCAACTTCATAAAAATAAAAAGAGAAAAAAAAAAGGAAAGAAGGCACTCTTTTGATCTTTGTAATATAACGTACATATCCATCGACTGAAATGCTTCTCTGTGAAGTAACGGTAAATCCAATTGAGGATGTAGAATGCACGATAAGCCCTGTAGGGAAATATACAAAGATTAGAAACTTACCATAAAATAGAATAGTAGTAAGTAGTTCATACTGCATAATTTCTGTTTATTTACTGTTTCACATCACCTCACCTCGATAACCTTTTTCTCTTTCACTACCTGAGGACCACTAGAAAAATAACATAAATGTGCTGTCTCAAATGCAGCTTCCATTGTACTAAACTTGGGGGAAGGGCTTGTATGGCATCTAAAAGTTAAGTAATGCCTAACCTTTCCCCTTTTCATGAAAAATGTGGCAAAGCACTAGTTATTTATTTTAAATATGTAATACCTTTTAACAGTGGTTTTAAAAATAACGGAGTGGCGAAACAGGATTCATGTAGCCGACCCCATATAATTGGGATAGGGCATGGATGATGATGATGTAATTAGGGGTTACAAATGGGTCGGATCTGAAGAACCTTTTATCCAGAACTTTGTATGTGGGTTCTGATATGCCTTTATACTTTTGTCAATCATATACATAATCCCATCTGAAGGAGGATAGAGGATGGAACGCGAGGAGAGAAATGAAAGGAATTTCAAGTTAGCGGGGAAGTGGCAATTGGATCTGGCGATCAAAGCAAAAAACTTCATTTTCGAACAGGGGTGGATGAAAGGTAAAATGTACCTGAAAATTAGAGAAGGTAACAGGGCTATGATTTTGCTACCAGAAGAAGCAAGTTTATGGCTGAAAGGTTTTGTCGATGGAACAGTTAATAAGTAAGAAAAGAAGGTTCGAAAAACTCCATGGACTGCTCCAGAAAAAGGTTTGAGGCGGAGTTGAGACGGAATGCAAGAGGTTGGTTTATTACAGTAACAGAGCATTCTCTAACAAAAAGCAAATGATTTTGTGTGCCAGAAGGTCCAAAGGAGCAAGGATGGGTACAGTCATTCCTAATGGAAGTTGAAAGGAAGGTGAGAGAAGAATGTAGTAGAAGTCCCAATGGAAGTGACAGGGCCAAACAGCATACACCGGGGGAGTAGCAAGATGCAGAATCCTCTCTGTCAAGAAATTCAGTCGCAAGCTCAACAGAGAATCAGAAAATAATGTTGGAAAAAGGGAGAGGACCTTGGGAGCGCAGAATGGTCTTAAAGGCAGATATAGTGGTGAAGGATTGGACAAAGGTGTTAGATGCTGTTGCAGAGAAGTTGGGGCTAGAAGCTGATGCTATGTTGCTGCTGTTTGCCAAGGAAAAAGCTATCCTTGATGTAGCTGACGGACATTTAAGGTTTAACACAGTGAAAATAGATGGAAGATTGATACAGATTAAAAAATGGGTCCCAATCTGCAATAAATTTGAACCAAATGAAGGCAGTTTTATGGTGAAACTGCTAGGACTTCCCTTTAACCTATGGAATGAATCGATCTTGGAGAAAATTGTTAAAACCTTGGGTGGAGCCCTGGTGGAGGTAAATCAAAGGAGCTTGTGTGCAGTGGAGCTCAGGGTGGCACCAGAAAACATGCCCCAATCGATCGAAGTTCTCTCAGCAGGCGTCTGGTATCGTGTCTGGCTGGCTTCAGGAGTTGAAGCGTCGCTTTGGGGAAGACGAACAGAGGTAGGAGGTGAAGGTGAGGTGGCAGGCTGGAGGACACATGGCTCCCAGGGAGAGGTGGACAGATCTGGCGTGTGTGGTAGGATTAAAGAAGTGGAACAGCCACAGGAGATAAACCACATCCAAAGTCTTCCAATTAAGGCATCAAATTCAAATTTATTTGAAACAAAAGTAAAACAAATGGGTAGACCCTCTTATGCAGACATGGCCAAAAAAGGAAAAGGACCAGTTGGTCTCAACCGGGTGGCTGTTTCTGAACCGGTGGGGAGAACAGGTGAGCCAGACGCTGGACCGCATGAGTTTTTAAGTGACCCACATGACATCTTAAGTGGTCATGTGGGTCAGGAAAGAAAGGAGTTGATAGACGAGATTTCCATTCTATCATCGTCAAGAAAGGGGACAACTGAAGTGGAGAAATTACAGAGGCGGCGAATAGGAAAAGAGGCTCAGGAAATTTCTCTAAAATGGGTCTCTCAACAGGACCAAGAAGAGCGGTTTCACCATGTAGATGATCACCCAAATCCACGCTACTTGAGGCACCGGCTAAAAGAAAGGGAAGAGGAAGTTCAAGGTTGGGTAGACTGCAGCTCAGAGGAGGAAACTGCAGATGATGTGTCTAGTCTGGGAAATGAGGGAGACGAAGGGATCCGAGAAGAACAAAGTAGGGAGACTTTAAATCTGCAACGACTGTTTATGGGTGACCTGGTGGGAGAACAAAAACAGGTAGCAGTGGTTCGGTTGGATAAGAAAGAGACAGTTGATAGGTTTGACCATCTCCAGCAAGGTGGGGGGGCGGGGGGGAATCAATGCCCAAAAGTGAACAAGCCTTTACCAAGGTTAGCGTCAGAACAAGAAGCCAACAGGGAAGTAGCTCAAGTGGACCTAGATCGAAACAGGGGTACACCACAGAGGGGTAAACAATTGAATCAGGGAAGAGATCCTTGTGTTGCCTAAATGACGGGAAAGACTTCTCACCAAAACGAGGAGATAGAATGCTCCAAACACCTCATACAGGGAGTGTCAGCCAATTGCCCCCTTGCTCTTGACCCTCAGCTGAACCCGGGTATCTCTGTAAACCCTGTCCTTTCAGTTTTTGCTACTGATGAATGCTCTGTGTCTCTTGTTCCAGATTCTCTTCCCATCCCAGTGTTGGAAGCCCATGTTCAGAAGGCCACCTCAATGTTGCAGGGGGAGAAGGAAGGGGAGGAATCAGTAGGGGAAACAAGTAGGGATAAAAGAATTTGGGAAATCATACTAACTTTGTGGAATAAAGCGGGTGGCTGCTCCATCTTGGGGTTCCTCGGGTGGAATAGTAACTTTGTGGAGAGAAGAAGTGGTGATAGGGTTGGAAGAGTTAATAGGTAGTAACTAATGTAAGGTATGGGAAGGACCTTGGTGTGTGGGAGAAGATTTTAATGTAGTGAGATTCACAGGAAAAACCAACAACCCTAGGTAGAAAGTGACTACCAGTATGAGAAAATTCAATATGTTTGTGGATTCCTATGAGCTCAAAGAGATCCTGCTCCTAAATAACAACTTTACATGACCTAATCTTCAATCTAGACCAATCTGCTCCAAGCTGGACAGGTTCCTGTTCTTATTAGACAAGGAAGAACATTGGAGAAATGTGACATCTAGAGCACTCCCTAGACTCACTTCAGACTACTGGCTCATAGTGTTGTGTAAGGAAGAAATAAGAGGTGATGCTCCTGCCCCATTCAGGTTTGAGAATATGTGGTTGCTCCACCAGGGTTTACTAAGAAAATCAAGGACTGGGGGCAATTTAATCCTTCAATTAACTGGGAGGAGATACGATTCCACAAGAAGCTTCAGTACCTAAAAGCCCAGATTAAAGAGTGGGACCTTTTGAAGTTTGGAAGACTAGAGGAAAGAAAGCAAATTTTGATGGAGCAAATCAAGGATTTGGACTCGAAGGAAGAAAGGGGATCCTTCGGAGAGGTAGACAGAGAGAATAGATGGAGTTTGAGGAAGCAATTGGAAGATCTATTGCATAAAGAGGAAATAAACTAGAGACAGAAATCTAGGTGTAAATAGTTGAAGGAGGGAGACAGAAATACTAGATTCTTCCATTCTGTGGCAAATGGTAGGAGAAAAAAGAATTTCATCTCCAAACTGGAAGTTGGAGTAGTCAAATCCCACCCGACAGAGATAGCAAAAGCCTTTGTTAATCATTTCAAATCTATCTTTAGAAGGCCCTTAAATGAGAGGGTTTGGTTAGAGAGTTTGGAGTGGCCGAATTTGGGAGAAGAAAATAGGAAGTGGATAGAAAGAAAATTCGAGCTGGAGGAAATAAAGGAAGCAATGTTTTTGATGGACAGAACAAAAGCTCCAAGCTCAAATGGTTTTACAATGGCTTTCTATCAGGACTGTTGGGAAATTTTGGAGCACGATCTAGTGTCAGACTTAGATGAATTTTATAGAAGGGGAGTAACTCATCCGGATTTGAACCGAACATTCATTGCTCTAATCCCAAAGAAGGAAGAGGCATCACAACCGAAGGATTTTAGACCAATAAGCATGGTGAATAGTCTGTACAAAATAATTGCAAAAGTGTTATCTCTTAGGATTAAGGAGGTCCTCCCTACTATTATTGCACCCAATCAAGGAGCATTTGTTCGATCAGATCTTGATTGCAAATGAGAGCTTGGAGAGTTTTAGGAAATCAAAGAAGCATGGAGTGGTTTGCAAGCTAGACCTAGAAAAGGCTTATGACCTAGTTAATTGGTACTTTTTATTGGAGGTGTTGAGGGTTTGGGGATAGATGGTGCAAATGGATTTGGGGCTGTGTTAGGAGTTGCCACTATTCCATTCTGGTTAATAGGACAGTGGTGGACTTCTTCCCTACTTTGAGAGGAATAAGGCAAGGTGACCCACTTTCCCTCTTTTTGTTCACTTTGATTGCGAATGTTCTTGGGAGATTGATTCATAGAGCTAATTCGAGGAATTTACTAAGAGGATGGAGAGTAAGAAGGAAGTTCCACTTACACACTTGCAATTTGCAGATGATACAATTCTGTTTTGTGAAGGTGGAGACATAAATTGGATTAGGAACCTAAAATTGGCAATACATCTCTTCAAGCAAATGTCTAATCTCAAGGTGAACTTTGATAAGAGTTGTATTGCGGGGGTAAACATGGAGGAGAGGGAAATAAGAGTTTATGCAGGTGAGTTAGGTTGTGCAATTTTGGGTTGGCCTTTGAATTACTTAGGCCTAGGACATAATCCCAATAAAGAAAGTTTTTGGAACCCGGTGGTGGAAAGATTCGAGAAAAGACTTGCTTCTTGGAGGAAGAATTATTTATCCTTGGGAAGGAGGACCACTTTGATTAGGTCTATCTTAGCTAACTTAACTGTTTACTTCCTGTCAGTGTTTAAGATTCCAACCAAAGTCTCAAACATGTTGGAAAAAT